GGTGATTTAGTGGGCTCGTTTGTGGGATGTTGCGGATGAGTTTCACCGAGACCGCCTGCTCTGAACAACCAATCACCGTACTGACCGCTTCTAAACTCATGCACGAGAATCGACGTAATCCATAGCAACGGCACGTCACTCTTAGTTCACTCTTAGTGATTTATCCTTAGTATGAGTAGGTCTCAGCGGCTTTGTGAATAACTTTTAAGAAAAAACTCCTACGTAAAATGTTTTAGCGCGAGTTAGGAGCACTCCTAGCGGTAAGATAAAATGCTTTGTGAATACGGCCCCTGATGTAAAGCATATCTCTTTCTCCAAAAAAAGATATAAAAGAAGCTTTTTAATGTCTGCTGAAGTGGAGATATCTCAGAGTATCTCAACTTCAGCAGTCTCCCCCGAGGTGTCTCCCACATTTCCACATTAGTTGGGGGATTTCAAGGGGAGTTTTCCTTCTGAAGGGTTTTAAGGACAGAGGATGCTGTGTGCTGAACATACTGTAAAGCCTCCCAAAGTGAATGCGTACCTTGTGATATTGGGCTGTATAAATAAATGTGATTGACTGATGGGTCATTGACCTCATGTCCTTCTGCCTCTGGAACAACATGCCCCTCTCTCATGCCCTCTGCAGAGCTGTGAGAGTCCCTGTATTGTTTCCTCTGTGTAGGGGGAAGTGTCCCTCTGACATGAACTCCTGTCAGGTCTTCCTGCTGCTTTTGGTCACATCCCTAAAACATTTTGTCATGTGGCCCTAATGCTCTTCCGTAATAATGAACTGATTTCGGTGAAGTTGACTTTCCTCGAGGGTTTTTTGTCACACGTCAGTTTCACTGCATGGTAACACTGTGAGCACTAATGTTCTCTATATCTATACATATGTATGTGTTGTAATTGTATGTACTGAACAGCCAAGTGATCTTTTTCTAATTGTAATGATTTAGCTGATCTTGAAAGTATGCATTATGGTTTTAATAAGTAATTATAGTATGAGAGTAGCTCACAGTGTGATACTTGTGCACCTCAGCTTGCTGCTTGCCTCATACACTCCTGTACCTGAGCCCCACAGCCTCTCACTGCAGAGCTTCCTCACACTCACCAGAACCTTCTCTCTCTCTGTTAACAAGCAGCGAAGGAGCATGTGCGGCGCAACCGGCAGAGCCGCACCTTTATGGTGGAGAATGTCATAGGGGAGCTCTGGGCGGAGCTGGAAGAAGGTAGATTCTTTCTCCTCTTTTTCTCCTCTTTCCATCTTCCTTTCCTCTAGGGTTAACACTGTTGCTGTTTCCTTTGCTGCATATCTTTCTTTTTAGGTACTAACTTTAGATATTACTGAAATAGAGCACTAGAGTTTTTTTGAGGAACTGTAATAACCTGGAGAATGTAATAGTTACAGAAAGGCGCTGAAGGTCATTATTTTTAAACGTGTGTTGCTTTCTTTACTTCTAAAGTCCTGGATGACAAACTACAGTTTAGTTCATGCTGGGTTTTTCTTCATTGCGTCTGCCATTGGTTCTGTCAGTTATGATTACAGTGCTCAACTGTGACTGTCAACATTAGTCTACTGAGTTTCTCTCCACACTGACTTTAACTTAGTCTAACATCTTAGCTGAACTTGTTTTCCTTTCTACCTGCATGCTCGCTCTGCTGTAAGTCACACGCTCAATGACCCGCCCACTCAGCTGAAAGAAGCAGCATACATTACCAAAGACCCTTTTTCCTAATTTCAGTAATACAATTATAATATCAAAAGATCCCTTAGACCCTTTCAGTGAAAGAGATGTATGTTGGTTAAATACAGATGTAACTGGTACTACTTGATTAGTAATTCCGCCTTTAGCTGAATTTCTGTTACATGTAGTTTGACTGCGTAAATCATGTCCAAACTGCCCACCATCTTGTCTTAGCTAAAGCCCCTTAAGAGTCTGTGTCATTACCTCCTGCACTGTGCTGCTCACATTCCCACAGCCCCAGAGAGGAAGCAGGACTCTGAGGTTCAACCAGCTGCAGAGACACACAGAGTCTCGTCCAACTCTCCTGAGAATGTTCCTGAAAACAGCGTACAGAGTAGATCAGAGGCAGCGAGGGAGCTGTTAGATGAGAAGCATTAGATGCACATGACTGACTGCACCCCCCCTCTGTGCAGGAGACCGTTACGTGGTGGTGGACTGTGGAGGAGGAACCGTGGACCTGACTGTCCATCAGATCCGTCTCCCAGAGGGACATCTGAAGGAGCTCTATAAGGCCTCAGGTAAGAGCATACTGTAAGACCACTCCATCTGGTCTATTATATATCTTTATTGAACAAGGACCATGCATACAAATACATTCATCTTTAAAAGAGAAAAGATGCTAAATGCTAGATAATAGATAAAAGCTAATTTCCATCTGCAGTTCCTGAAGGAACACACATAACAGACATCAAACACAGACATATCAAATATAAATACTAGTACATTTGCCAATAGAAATATCATTTTACCATTCATTTAAAATCTCAAATTACAGTAAAGTAATGTTGGCAAGACTGGTTTCCCAAAATCAATGATGGCCGTAAATGAGAAAACTGATTGTGAAAGGCAGAGGGATAAATCTGCATTTAGAGCAGATCGTGAGGTTCTCCCCATATGTTCAGAGCGGACGTGGAAAAGCTTCTCAAAGGTGTCGTGGTGGTATTATCAATCAATCAATCAATCAATGTTTATTTATATAGCCCAATATCACAAATGTTACATTTGTCTCAGTGGACTTCACAGTTTGTACAGAATATCAGTATGACAATACGACACCCTCTGTCCTTAGACCCTCACATCGTACAAGGAAAAACTTCCAGAGAAAACCCACAGTTAAATTCCAATCTAATTTTTAAGAACAGAATGAGATTGTCAAAGCTGAGGAGATTGAATTTGGATAATATATCGCAATTAATGTGTTTTAATGATGTCTTATCAAAAAGGTTTAAGGCTTGTTTGAAAATAATCTTAACCAGTTTGGGCACAGTCTTTCTTGCCTGAGACCAGCAGGTGATACAATATTGGAGATGTGAGAAAATCATGGCGTGTTTTTGATGCTTCTATTGTACTGAGCCACAGTCTCACAGGACCCCTCTCTTCCCAGGCGGTCCCTATGGCTCCATTGGCATTGATTATGAATTTGAGAAGCTGCTGTGTAAGATCTTTGGCCAGGATTTCATCGACCAATTTAAGATCAAGAGACCAGCAGCCTGGGTGGACCTGATGATCGCGTTTGAGTCCCGGAAGAGGGCGGCAGCCCCTGAGAGAACCAACCCACTCAACATCAACCTGCCCTTTTCCTTCATCGACTACTACAAGAAGTTCAGGGGCCACAGCGTGGAACATGCCCTGCGCAAAAGCAAGTGAGTACACACCAGAAACCAGAAGACCTGTCCCTGACATATTAAATAGATCAGTATAGTAAGATGGAGCACTATCGTTATTTCAACACACAGCTGATCTGTCTGGATCATAAAGAAGGCCTGATGAGATCACAGTGTGCATCTTTCACACAGCATAATGATGGTTTTGTATATGAGGGTCTTATTTAGAGTCAAATTGAGGATAAACCAAGATTTGCTTTAGGGCGGGACTACCTAGTTATTGACAGGTTGCTACCACAGTGTGCGGAATCATCTTTTGACTTTGACACTTCCACAGTGAGTTTTCACTTCATCATAGTTAATTATAATATGTTATATTCAATTGTACTGAGTTCCACCCTCATGTGTCACTTCTGTTTCCAAAATGTGACATTATCACTTCTTATATACTGTCCATGGTTGCTGGAGAGATACATTTAAAAGCAAGATTAAAAGCACCCATTTTGCCATAATGACAAACACTTAGTACTTAGTGTTAGACAGAAAGTAATAAATGGGCTTCCAGGCCTTAGAGTTCTGTAACGACTGACCTGTGGGACCAGCATGGAGTCTCCATGTAATGGGCCTGTCTCCTGTCTGTGTGGATGGTAATAATCCCACAGTGAGGGACATTATAAGATATGTATACGTCTGAAACTGGAGCCCACTGAGCCCCAGGCTCCTATGATGTCTAACAGGAAGTGCCAACTTCAACTGTGGAACTCACAACCTAATGCACATACTGCACAGGAATCACACACATGGGATCACAGCAGACGGACACTATAGATTTATTATTGGACACACACATCATCATTCAAATATCTCACAATGAAAAATGAACAGTGCACATTATCATTAGAGATGTCAGATCATGAGAAAGCATTGTTGATATCTTAGTGGTTTAGTGTCAGTTTAGATATGAAAATTGGGCTATCATTTAAAAAAGATTATGTTAAGATTCTAAGCAGATTGTAAGTGAAAACTATGTTATCATATTTTTATTTTCATATACAACTATGCAAAACATTTGCCTTATTTGGACATATTGTTATTTTAAATATGTTGTCATTATCATTTTAATAGCGCCCTATCTGCAGATTTCGTTCATATATTCATATACTGTCACTTCCTCTCTCAGTGTGGATTTTGTCAAATGGTCGTCTCAGGGGATGCTGAGGATGAATCCAGACGCCATGAACTCCCTGTTCAAGCCCACCATAGACCACATCATCCAACATCTCAGTAAGCTGCACTCAAAACAAACAAACACACACACACACACACACACACACACACACACACACACACACACACACACACACTATTGTGGTCAAACAAACTGCATTTCATGCTTTGATTCCACATATAGCTGGTATTCATAGTGTCTTCACTCTTAAGTTGTGCAAGTAACTAATACAATATGCTTTAGAGATATGGAAAAACCTCATATCCTGATAAAGATATAATAAAATCTTTTTTTTAAAGATAATAAAAATAAGTATTTTTAAGAAACAATTTAGCATTAAAAAAGGCTGCTGAAGACATCAAGATATAGCGTTTTTCTAATTCAATAAATAAAAAGTCTATATGAAATGAATTATTTTTGTTTAGTCCTGTGTGAATTAAATACATTCTGCTATAAGTTCTGATTTTCTTGAAGTAAAACATAGGCCTAGCTGGTATAACGTTAGTAAGGATTTGGAAGAATATAAAGGATAAACATTATATATATATATATATATATATGTATATGGTTATATCACTCAATGCTATTATACACTGTATACCATGTCATCTCATGATTGTCACACGTGACTATAGTTGATTGATTGAGTCTTGCAGTATTAGCCTAACCTGCAGAGGACCTGCTTTTAACTTTGTCTGCAGACAGTGACAGTGATATCGATCTCACAGATACTCACACATGAACTCAAATAAAAGCACAAACAAAAAACAAACAAACAGTAACACAGGCACAATTAAAGCACTGTAGTCTGATTTGATAAAATGTGTCTGTTATTTAGAATAGGAGTGTGACAGACATGAAGCAGGATGTACGTGCACACGCTACACATGTTAATATGTTTACGATGCTAAATGCGCCATAAGGAGAACAAGCAGACAAGCAAGAGAGTAAAATCCAAGCCTTAGGTGCTTTGGTAATGAGGGATCATTGGTGACATTTCAGCTGCAGATCACCAAGAAAGGAAGGGGAATATGGCTCAAATGTCAGATTGTTTACAAACTGCTCTATAATCCCACTGTGTGCGTCTCTCTCTGCACTGTCAGATCATCTCTAATAATAGGATCCATAGGCAAAGTATTTTCACTCTGTGTCATACACCTGCTTATCCTGTTACACAGCGGTGGTGACAACATGCTTTTCAGCTTCTGATCTGTGGTCAGCTGACACACAGCTGTAATGATGAGTCGGTAGAGAAAATCGGAGATCCATTTGAACACATGAGCTAATTGAAAAGACAGTATAAATATCCCACAGTAAATGTTGCACATAAACTTCAAACAGTAGTGGCTGGTGGCACATGTGTTCCTTGTAACAGTCAGTTGTTTCCTTCATTGAGTTTCTGTCTCCTCCTCTAGCGGAGCTGTTTGAGAAGCCGGAGGTGAGCGACATTAAGTTCTTGTTCCTGGTGGGGGGCTTTGCTGAGTCCCTCCTGCTGCAGCAGGCTGTCCAGGACATGCTGCAGGGCCGCAGCCGCATCATCATCCCCCATGACGTGGGCCTCACCATTCTGAAAGGGGCCGTGCTGTTCGGCCTGGACCCCAGCATCATCAAAGTGCGCCGCTCCCCCCTCACATACGGGGTGGGCGTCCTCAACCGCTTCGTGGAGGGCAAGCACCCTCCAGAGAAGCTGCTGGTGAAGGACGGCACGCGCTGGTGCACCGACGTCCTCGACACTTTCATCGCCGCCGACCAGTCGGTAGCACTGGGAGAGCTGGTGAAGAGGAGCTACACCCCCGCCAAGCCCTCCCAGCAGGTCATCGTGATCCACGTCTACTGCTCCGAGAAGGAGAAGGTGGGCTTCATCAGCGAGCCCGGCGTAAGGAAGTGTGGGACACTTCGCCTGGATGTGAGCGGAACAGAGAGCACGGCGCCACGCCGTGAGATCCAAACGCTCATGCAGTTTGGAGACACGGAGATCCGGGCCATGGCCGTGGACGTGTCCACCGGACGCACCGTCAAAGCTAGCATTGACTTCCTAAGCCATTAAGAAGGGAACGAGAGCTCATGTTCCCAAATATTTAGGATCTGTTCAAATACACACACACACACACACACACACACACACACACACACACACACACACACACACACACACACACACACACATTTAAACACATAAACTGGGGATGTTTGATGGAAAGGTCAGTGAATCTCAAGGCTGCGTCACTCAGAGGTTAAGTGTGGTTGGTAGATGGTTTGAATAAAAGTGTTAAGGTTTACCTTTAACCCGGGCAGGCCTTCAGCAGTAGAATTCATGTTACAACCAGAAAGAAAAGAGAGTGCAGTGTGTGAGCTGAGGAGCCTTATGGTGTTCACACACTCATAACATACTGTGTGCTGCTCTGTGATGAATCAGGTTGAAGAGCTCCTCACAAGGAAGATAAAGGCGTATCACCTCTCAGACATAACGTGTAACAGGACAGCTTTTGAAATCATCGCTCTATACAACCCCAGAAAAACAAAACATACGGTATAATATTCTACACTATCATAGTGGATACACATTCAGATTGCATCTTCTTTGCTTCAGATTACAGCAAATCAATGTATATCTGTAAACGACTAACATGTGATCATGGTTTTGCATGATTCAGCTCTTTTGACACAGAGTAAACTGTCACAGTGCTGCCAGTGTTTTTCAAAGCATACTGTTTTGTTTGTAAAGGAGATGGATTCACTTTATGGTAGTGCTGTAAGCAGGTTCACTAAAGTATATAAATCCTCGACAAAAACATCAGGCTGAACCATTAGCTTATTTAGCGTGTTCATATAAAGAGCCCTGTATGACTGTATGAAACAAATCGTCCCTAGATGAAGAAGGGACCAACCATAGGGCTTATTGGCAATTCATGGGCAGCAAAACAAGCTGTTAAAAGAGAAGTCAAAAGGGTTAGAATTCACATCCAGGAGAATTGAAGCAACATTAGCGTTAATTCTGATTTGTGTATTTGCTTAACATTTGTTTACAGATAGCCTTTGTGGACATATTTAACAGATAAACATCTACAGCTTTGTTATTTTTACAGCAAACCTTAGGAGAACATATCGGTATGTCTTTTACTAATTGAGAGACCAGAATCATTTGTCAGCACTGAAGTATTACCATATGTACTGTAAAGGTAAAAACCCGGGCTGGTATGACATGGGAAGTCAATGTAAATCTTATGGCTTACTTTTGACAGTCACTGGCAATGCTTAGTATATCTGAATTTAGCCAATCAGCCAAATCATGCAAAACCACCAGTATGTTCCATTAAAATGATCCACAGTCAAATCTGAATCCTAGAATGTGAAACGTGCTGCAAGCTCAATCTGAATAGCAAGTACAGCCCTCAATGCGCATAACTGTTGCCTTTATTTGTTTATGCTTCTGACTATTAGATTATTATTCTGCACAAAGATGCAGGCCAGCTGAGACAAGCAAGGAAGTGTGTTTATTTCTGTGTAAATACAGTATTTAAATATTGTACAGATTTGTTGGCGTTTATTCTGCAGCTTTAGAACTGTGTGTGTGTGTGTGTGTGTGTGTGTGTGTGTGTGTGTGTGTGTGTGTGTGTGTGTGTGTGTGTGTGTGTGTGTGTGTGTGTGTGCTTTCACATCTCAAATAGTTTTTCTCCATAGCATGAGGCGCAGCAGGTTGGATGCTCTGTTTAAAGTGAGAGTGGATGTGTGCTTTTTTTCGCAAACACAAAAGAAACTTGAATACCTCCGTCCTAAGTATTTCAGTCTTGAAATGGTAGCAGAGTCTGTGTCCGGTCCCCTTTTCATCTCACCCGCTGAACTGTAGGATCATAATTATTACATATTCTTTGAAGAAATACAATCAAGCCATTTCATTTAGAAATTGTTTTCTTTGTTAAAGACTGAAGCATAGTCAGCAATAATCCAGTGAAGAGTCACATTTCCAGATGATCATGAAAGGTTTACTTATTAAAGTCTTAAGTAAAAGAGGGCCTAGTATATTAATTGTGATGTCAAGATTGACTCACCCCATCAGTGCATAAACTGCATCCCTTCATCACTCAGCTTTATATACTGTATATGTGACTTCAGATTTAATCACTGAGCATCACACTGATTGTAAATCCGTGAAAGGACTTTGCCACATCTAAATGTTCAACATTCACCCTAACACTTCACAGGATGGAAGTTCCTTTTCCTGATGGAAGCACCGGTTGCTGTGCGTTGTCTCTTGTTTTTAAACAGCATTGGTTGAAAGATGAAGCCTGGTGATGTAGTGACATCATGGTTGTTGCTAGGTTTATTCATGGAAAAATGCTCTATTGGTGTTTCATCAATTTCATTAATTCGATGCACGGAAGCTACAACAGCTTATATTATAGCTTCCTCAATTTAGGTCACCATTGTCAAAAAAGTCTGCTACTGCAACTGCAAATTCATGTGTGAAGGTCACTTTAGGCTAAACATCAGAGTAGCTACGTTAGCGTTAGCTTTCGTAGTTACATTTATTCTGTACAGAACCCTGCACCTTCTTCCTGCTGTGTTACAGTTGGACACTTCCAGTTCATGACTTTGACTTTGATGTGTGTACCTGACCATGAGCGTCACCACATCCTCACACAACTCAAGAGACAGGTGTTCACAAGACTTGCACAAGTCTCTAAGCTAGTTTATTAGCTTGGAGCTAGAAACAAAACATCCCGTAAAGAGGCAAAGTATCACCGTGATAAAAACTGGAAGAAGAATATACCTGTGGATGTTTCTTCGGTTTTGCTCCAGAAAAAAGGATAGTAATGTTTCAGTCATTAACCAGCAGGTTTATTAGTAATTTTGACCTTTAGTGTTTCTGGGATCTTGGTTTCCAAATAGTACGATCTTAAAAACAAGTTTCCCATTTTAACGGTGAATCAAAGCTTGTCTCGCTTTTCATTTTCAATGTACAAAGTCGCTCGGGATGCTGTCCGGCTCTCTTTCTGCATGCACGTGTCGCATGTGTCGCATAGGAATGACTAAACAGCTACAAGCTACCAACAATAAGTTGTTTGCTATTACTAATACACAAAATCAAGGTTCGGCACTGTGATGAAGATGATTGCAGTGTTTTCTATAATAACTTGTGTGCTTATCAGCCCTGTCACAGGCTGGAGTGTGGCTGTGCTGTGTATAATACTCTGTTGCTACTGTTTTCTGAGCTAATGCTAATCCATGCTAATGCTCTGAACTGACAGTAGAGCAGCACCTCACATACTTTACTGATCTGAACTAATCTCATAAGCTTTTATTCCTCTACACAACTCTCTACTCACAAAGGATGAATATGAACCAGAAGGTTATAATAACACCATGTTTTATTGATTCTTTGAGTAGATAATTACAATGTTATGTGTGAAACCTTGAGTATAATGCACAGGATTCCATGGGAGCCTGCCTGCAGGCAGCAGTCTCAGGACACCTCCACTCTCAGGACAGGAAGTGTACGCTAATAATTCCAAAAATAAAATCGCCACTATCAGTACAGCGCCACTTTCCAAACAGGAAATGCACGCAAATACAAAATAAAATCGTACTGGCACTTATTATATACATATGTATATATATATATATATATATATACATATATATATATATATATATATATATATATATATATATATATATACATACATAAGAATGTCGGACGTGTTTTGGAGCATTTTGCAGCACCTCGTTTACCTCAATTTTTTTCACGACT